AAAAATTTTCCTCAGATTTTTTAAAGTCTATTTTGCTGTTGTGGAGAAGCCTTTTTCTAGATCTGTTTCCCATAATAGAAAAATTATAATCAATTTAAGGATTATAAGCATGTACTCTTTTTTCAGATGCCATAAATGCCTCTTTCCGGAAAGTTGCAGTGTGCTGATTATTGCTTCACTACTTGAGTTTCAATAATCTCACTTGATTAGGTAAAGCACAATCAACTCAAAGCAGCTATTCTAGGGTACAACTAAAATCAGAAGAGTACAAAATAACTCCAAAAATCTAGGAAAGCTCAACATAGTTACTAGGATTGAGCTTTTTGTTGTTTTTTTTTGTTTGGAGAGAAGCTGTATGATACAGCTAGTCTAGTTTGACTGTACTTTGGAAAGGGATTTGCTACCATTTTTTCCCCTCAAAGAAACACAGAACTAAAAAAAAAACCCTAACTTGTTCAACTCTGCAAAATGTATGTGCTTCCTACTAAAATCTGCTCCATTGAAGGCTTACAAATTAGTCTCTGGAGGCAGGAAAGGCCATAAAAAGAAAACAACTTGACTTGCTTTCCAACAGTAATAGCTTCTAGGATTGTACAGAAGGCAATAAGCTATTGCCTGCACAATGAGGTCTCATTCTTAGAAACACAGACTGCATCCAAAGCAATGTGTGCCGAAGCAGTGCAATACCTCCATTCTGTACCCTTTTTGGGATCCCAATATGAGCTCATTTACAGGCGAAATAATTGAGCTGACACCTTTTTCTTTCCATATCATTATTTGATCAGTATTTAATGAGATTATGTACTTTAGTACCAGCTCCTGGTAAAAAAAGCACTGAGTAACAGCAGTTTCTTAAACCTTGATATCAGAAATTTTACCATTTACAAATAAATATATCTGAAAGCATGGTCTAGTGCTTGATCTAATTCCTGCAAAACATATAACTAGTAGGAAATCTAGAGATAATTTTACAGGAAGGAATTACAGAAGTGGATTATATGTTTTATGTAAGTCTAAATGTCAGCTGATAGTGAGACATGAAAGCTATCCTAAACAAAATTGGAATAAAGTACCTAAACTGTGGGAGGATGTCATCATTTGCATTCTGTCTACATATGGCTTTACTTATAACTCAATATGGTATCAGAGAAAGGCAATCTAAAACATGTAGTACTGGTGTTGGGTACGGGGTCAGGGTGCCATCAGTGGTGACTGATTAATGATTCTTCTGATGCAAATTAAGACAACTGCATCTTTCATTGTCCCCTCTGTACTGATTAATGGCAAGGTAGAGGACAGCTGAGACTGAGAACACATGAACATTTTGCAACAGAGCAGCCTTTATTCCTTGCAAATAGCTACTCCACAAATGAGAGTGAAGCATTCGCTGTAACTGCTAGCTGAAGCTACTCCTTTAGGTCAAATCATTGCTGATTTGTTTTTATGGGGAATGGGTTCTGCAAATAATGTGTCATTTTTCCAAATCTGCTATTACTTCAGAAATTCCAGTTCATGCTGCAGCAGAAATTGGATACTGCCAGACATGGGTGATTTTTGAGTCAGGGAGTACAGGGGCTGCGCGGAGTACACATACTGTAGCCTCCCAATTTTTACTGGGGTTGGGGCCGATACTTGAACCGAAGGACCACATGCTGCCATCTCGCAGAGAGACCTTTTACCAACAGCAGATCTTTGGTAAGCGACTGGTATCACACATAACCTTGTAGCATGGTAACTTTGATTTGTGCCTTGGTAGTTTTGAATCGCTGTTGAAGTGATTGTGTGGTACAGTAATAGAGTGAACCTTGCTATCGAACTTTGTTAAGTCACACTTCTACAACATCATATTAAAACCACTTTTGCTAACACCTTTGACAGTGGTTCTTTAAGTGATCTAAATCACCCATTCACAACAGTTTTTAGTACTAATGGTTTCAGATAAAAGCCTAGAATGGCCAAAAGTGACCAAAGCAAGCATGGCTGTACAATACGGTGTGAACGCTCCTCTGTAGATATCACCCACAACTCACAGAATTAGAACTCCTTTGAGTACTGTGAAATGTTAACTGGCAAGCTGTGCCCCTGGCATATAACTTTAAATGCACAGACATACATGTCTTCCCTCATTTCTTCAGAAAGGGTTGGTACCAGAAACAGGCAGAATGAGTTTTTTGATGCGATAGTGACTTTCTGCTACCACATTGGAAACAAGTACTGTAGAAGATTATATCCAAAGTCTAACTGACAAGATAAATGGACAATGACTGATCTTCATTTTTGCAAGTGACATTTGTTTACTTAAGACAGTCCACTAATCTCGCCACCTTTGGAGTAAATCAGGAAGCTCTGACCTTCTGTTACTTTTAGACTAGAAAAGGCATCTGAGATTAACGACTGTGAACAGTCGCCTCAACCTGCACTTCTTGACCTTCTCATTCATAGTGTTTTCACTCGCCATGTTACAAAGCGTAGAGCCCTCACTTCCCAGGAAAGTCAAACAACCCAACATCAGCAAGACAGAGCTCCCCAGGGGCTTGTCCTGGATGGCTGACAGCATTCTGCCAAGTGAGGAATTGGGCCCTTTGTGGCTAAAATTAGTTTACAAATTCTTCAGGGAAAAGACAGCTTTCATCTAAAGGGAAGCCTGCAACAAGCTTCTCCGTCACTGTAAAACAATGATGATAGGTGGATTAGGTAGTAGGCCCGGGAGAGAGATATGTCATCACTGATCATCTGACTGCCTGTGAGGAAAACCATGAATAACATTGGACAGTTAAGGTTTCAAGTAATTGAAAGTATCTACAATGTAATGAATAGACATCTGGCAACAGTATTCTGTTCCAGTTAGCACATCATTTTGGATAGCTGGAGTTCAGCTAACTGAGGTTGCACTATAAATGCATTATAAAGATTTTCCAGTATGCAGCTCCTTTAACTCTGGAGGTCTTCAAGGTTCTTATATCAAATCCACTGCTTTGAAAAAAAAAAAAAAAAAAAAAGTGTAACATAGTGAATCCAACCAACATATTAAATACATTAAAGCCTGAATCTTCTTGCCAAGGCTGACTGGTCCGGGAGGTGGAATGTGTGGTTCTCTAAGACAGCTACAAATAGAACCTCTCCAACCAGAGCTGAAAAAGCCAGCTGAATCGGCCAGCAAAAATGTAAAGCAGACATTAATCACAGCAGCCTGCACCTTCCCTCCACTTGTAAGCTCTGTATACCAGCAGGAAGAAGAATGGAGAGAGCACCAAAGACAACTGAGCTTAGACTGCTCTTAACGCACTTCCTGAACTATTGCTAGCTCAGAGGCACTGTAACTAATTTGTTGCTATTAACTTCCCTGTGTGATGCATTTCAACCAAAAGCAACACACATGCAAAGCACCCATCTGATTGGTTTGACTGAGGTTTTCTTTAACTACCTGGTAAGAAAGGTACTTTCCCCTGCCACCTGGAGGAAAGAAAGGCAACAGACACAACCTCAGGACTATCATCAGGGTTTCAATCTGACATCTTCAGTATTGAAATCTAAACCTCCTCTTTCAGCTTCTGTTATACAGACTTACATATAAAGACTGATGCTCTCAGAGCATGTCTTGCACATTTGTGAAATAAAACTAACCAACAAACTCACCACACCTTTCTTTTCTAACATTTATTGTTAATGAATACATGCTATTGGGTCTATCTTTGTTTCTGACTGTTTCCTTCCTAGAGCAGCAAAACTTTCCCACCACACCACTCCTGTAGGAATTCCTCTTTTACAAGTTTCACAAAAGTGACACAACTTGTCAATTCACTTGGCCATCATTCTGCCAGTGACAAAATACCCAGTGTCATACACCAGCTTCTAATTTACTGCCCCTCTCACTGGTTTGTCAGAAATTTGAAGACCTTGAATGGAGAAGCGTTACATAGAAATCGAAAGGAGCAGGTCTTCCTCACTTCCCAGTGCAATATAGAACATTTCCTATAAGCTCTGGAAGACCTTGAACTACCAAGTTTTAAGACATCACTACTGTTATATACTTTACAGATATTTGAAGACATGCTGAAAGATTCCAGTAAGACCTTTTCTATTCTAAGCAACCAACAAAAGTTTTTAAAAATCCCTTCAAACATTTCCATGATAGCTTTTCTTCCAGCTCAAAGAAAAAAAAAAACAAACCCAAAACCAAACATGTAAAAGATTCAAAATGGGACCACGTATAATTTTAACTTGTTATCATTCTCTTCAGAAATCACACATGCATACACTACTTGTAAGAAAATTGTGCCATATTCATGCTGATAAAAATCCTCACATCACTTAATCATGTTCTTGAGTAAACAGTATATAAACACGTAGTTTAAAACTAGTTGTATATCAGTAATTATGTACATGCACACAGAATTTATTGGTGAGCTACTTCAATCAGGACAACAGTAGTACCTTCTTTTTGCTGCAGTAAATCTGCCATTTCTTCTCTGGAGGGAGTGCAAACATAGCCTCTCTGTTCTTGTCTGTGAGATCCAATTCATCCTGGAGATTGAGGGAGACACCAGAAAAAAAAAAAACAAAAACAGTTAACAGCTGCATTAGTAACTTCTAATAGGCTGAGAGGAATCTGTACCAGGTACGTTGACTGGCCTTCAATGAAAAGGCAGAGGGCTTAGTGACTCCCAAAGACTCCAAAGAATATTGGTTTCATAATTTTTACCTTGCTGCTGCAAGTTCTCCCTGTCAGAGCAGAACCCATGAAGAGAGGCAGCCTGAACAACTCCCATGTCAAATTTCCATTGCTAATGATTAGTCAAGGATGGGAAAGATCACATGAAAGGCATGAAGTGAAAAACTCAAAGCACTGGCTTATGTGACACAGACACACCTTACGACTCTTAGAGAAAGGATAAAAATTCAATACACCTTTTTCCTGGCCTGCAGTACCAGCTTGGTCTTCCATAGAAGGAGAACAGTGAAATCACTGCATCTTTTAAACAAAGGTCACAAGACAGTTGTCTAGTGGCTGTAATGTCAACAGCAACCTACAGGTTGAAAAGTTTGTCCACGTTTGTCCTCTGAACCACACAGTCCCCAGCAAAAGACAACCAGCATTTCAGACATAAAGGACATCTCCACACAGTGTTGCATCAATTTGAGCAGACCAGCAAATTCAGTCTCTGTTAAGAAAAGTGAGTTCAGTGGAACACACCGTTTTAGAGCCTAGCCAACCTTACATTGGTGAAATGAAGGATAATGCTGCGATCTGGAACTAACTCCCAACTCTGTCACAAGCTCCCTCTGGATACACCACTGAATTCCCCAGCTTCAGTTTCTCTTCTGTAAAAGGTGGATAACATTAGACTCTTCCTATACAACATGTCTCTCAAATCACCAAAGCAGAGACTGCTGCTTACTCTGTTTATTCAGCGTTGACCAGAACAGGGCTCCAAACACAGCTGCCAGTTTCAGGTGCTATTGGGAATTAAACAAATAGGAATGGTCTTCCTAGCAAGCAGTCTGCATGAGCAGGGACAGATGAAGATGTCTAAATGAGTTTCAGAAATATAAAGACAAGCTTCCAATAATGTTTCAATGAATCAGTTTTGGCAGGGTTTTCTGTTTCCTATATATTTGAAAGTGTTTGGAGAAGGAAGTGTCCAGGGGTCCAATATCAAGATGACACTGCAGCACTAAGAACGCTGCACATGCAGATTCTGGCACCCACACTAACCTAGCCCAAGCAGAGACAATACCTCTTTAACTCAGCCCAACAATGGCTCATTTGGAAAGCATTCAGGGCTGGGAAACTTGTGAAAACAGTGAGCTAAATTGCACACTGAGCCTGGTAGCGGCTGCTGACAGATTTAAAAGCCCATAGAGATTTCAGCTGCAAAAAGGTACAAAAGAAATGCAAACAGTAACAAGGTGAGGTCAGTGCCAGCAGCCCAAGGTAGAAGAAGCTGGAGGGCTTTTTTAAACAAGAAAAAGCTTAAAGGAAAATAAAAACCAACAAAATTTTAGCTGTGCAAAAAGAGTGCAAACCATGTGGAAATGTTTAGGGTGAGTTTCCAAACAAGGGGGCAGCCAAGCGAGGCAAGGAGCTTTATCCTTGCTACACACAATTGGAAAGCTCAGGCCAGGATCACATTCTTGGGGGGAGAGGGAGAGTGAAATGACATGTAAGGTCTTAAGACAAACGAAGGAATGCTGTTGGAGGTCAAGCACGTGGGAGGGAAAGGAGGGGCAGACAGGGAATCAGAAATGCCAGGTTTGGAAGAACCACCAAAGAGGCCAGAATACACATCTCAAATGAGCTGGCTGCACTCAGCTAAATTCTTAGAAAAAAAATGACTGTTTTATTGAACTGCTTAATGATCTTAGCTTTTTTTTTTTCCTCCCCCCCCCCCCCTCTTCCCCCTTTTTTTTTTAAATAAAGAGCAACTAACTTGGTTTTCTAATACATAATGCTCTTTCTGGAGTCTGGTGGCAGATCAGACAAGCAGCAAAAGCTCTTCCCAGAAGTTGTGCACAAAACTGAATGATGATCTCAACCAATATAGTTCAAGACAACCTTTTTGTCAAAAGAACATTCCTATTGACTAAAACCACACAGAGGGCAGGATTTTTTAAATAAAGAGCAACTAACTTGGTTTTCTAATACATAATGCTCTTTCTGGAGTCTGGTGGCAGATCAGACAAGCAGCAAAAGCTCTTCCCAGAAGTTGTGCACAAAACTGAATGATGATCTCAACCAATATAGTTCAAGACAACCTTTTTGTCAAAAGAACATTCCTATTGACTAAAACCACACAGAGGGCAGGATGCTGACACTTAACGGCTTCTAGACACTGCCATGGACACTGCTAGTATCAGGAACATAAAAGGCACTCTGCCTTCAATGGGACAATAAGAATATACATCTTCCAAGTCATGCAATTTTCATCCTGATAGCATGACATATTTTTCAGGACAGAAGCCTAGAAAGGTAGTTTGAAAGGATGGAAGATCCAGTGGGAACAAAGTGCATCCACACCCTACTTTGTTGTGACTCAGGAGGGTAGATTAAGCCAGAATAACATTAGAAGTCATCACATTAGCTCAGGTAACATGGTAACAAGGAAACTGCTCAGGGTTCCAGGCATAATGTGATCACCAGAGGCAGACCCAAAACACCTGACTGGAAAATAGCACATGGAGGATGGACTACCCTTCCTTTGGAAACAGCTAGTGTTTGCCTTCCTTAGGAGACAAAATGCTGGGTTCTAACCCCCAGGTCAGATGGGCAGGTAGCAAGCATGAATAAAAAAAACACTTTCTCCAGAACACAAAGCAGCAGTCAAGCTCTTCAACACCCTTTCCTGAAGTTAGTCTTCAGCAAGTGTGCTTCTTCACTAAGGGGAAGAAAGGAGAGGGAGTAACTGAAGAGGCCTACATGCCCTCCCCTACCTATACCATTAATCAAACCCCACCCTATAAAGAACCAAGAATTCCCTGTAAAATACAAGAGACATGAACCCTTCTTCTGGAAGTCTCCAAATCATCTCACCTCTCCCATCCCCACCCCCTTTCTACAGAAGATCGGAAGACCACTGTGACTGCACAGGAAACCCCTGGATCTAGCTAAGTAAGAAGATCCTGGATCAGGCAGACTGTTTTCCTATTCTGACTCAGGATCCTAACAAACAGCACATAAGGAAACTTGCTGCCTTAGAGGGAAGCGGGAGGAACAACAGGAAGAATAAATTTCAGAAGGGTAATTTGGTCCATGAATAGGTCATTCTGACCCAACGACAGAGGCAGATCTACCAGTATGCAGAACTTCAGACCCTAGAGTTAGCTCAGTGATAGCAAGCAGCTATTGAAGGAGAAAGGAATTGCAAAGGTTGGCAGGAAAGGGGAATAACTACAAACTCTGAATGCAGTCATCAGGACTGGGGTTGGAGCCAGGCTAGGGAAGCTGATGTGACTGAACGCCCAGGGAGCAAATGTAAAGGGTAAGAAAAAAGGGTCAGTCAGAACAAAGCGGGGAAAACGCCCTCCTTCATCACCTGTGCCGGTTTCCCAAAAGAAATGTAATAACTCCTCTTCTATGCCTTGGATGAGGGGCTCAGTTCCAGCAATTCATGCCAGCATGACCCTGCACAATGGAGCTCAGCCTCCTAGCTCTTAAAAATACTTGAAGTTGCAAGTGTTCTCATGAAACACCGATTAAAAAGACATTTGCCAGGCTGGCCTGAGGGAGATGTAAAGTACCTCCAGTTAATTTTCCTTACATTTCTCTCCTTTATCTATTTCCTATTTGATTTACTGAGAGAGGGATACTTTCAGTTCATTTCACTTTCATGTGGGCATATTTTTTTTTTACTTACACAGATTGAATTTCAGTGATAAAACATTTAAAATGTACTGGAGCTGGATTTGAGGTTCAAATATTTCCAGTCCAGTTCTCAGGCCAAAAGGGAAGATGGCCTCTATTCAAAATGGCTACAACCCAAGGAAATAAGAGACAGAGAGAAAGAAAGGGAACAAGAAGGAGGAATGGGTAGGAAACATAAAACCAGTATTTTGTGGGATTTAAAACCACATTATGTCACTTGTTTTTGGGAACATTCATCAAAGTGTGAAAGCTGGATTTGATACTGGGTAGCCATCAGCTCGATAATGATAGCACTCAAAGCCCTGGAAGAGCTGGACAGAAAAGCATTTATCACCTAGACTGGGCAGCACTTTTCTTAGTGATGTGAAATGAAATTAATACAGAAAAAAAGCAATATTTTGGGAATGTAGAAGAGTGGTTCACTTAGAAAGAGAACCACCAAAAGAGAACCTTTAACGCCTACCAATGTGCCTACCTCTCTAAAGGAGAACCTGTAATGCCTACCAACATCTCTGTACTGAAATGTGTATTGCATCTCCACCATTTAGTGATCTGTGGACAGGTGGAACAGAGTCACAGGATAGCTGCTCCTTCACCAGTCTACTTCACCTGGCCTTGCGAGAAGACATACAGTCCATAGGAATTTTGGAATTTAAAATGGGGAAAACTTGAAATAGTTTGAAAGGCAAACTCAGTAAGATATTCAAAGACACAATGAGACTTCCCATTTTCAACATATCAGTGCTGAAGCCACAGCAGGGGTAGGATGGAAACCTCAAGACTGTAAGTACACAGAGTATCAGGGCTTCGGGGCTCCAGCACCTCTTAGCTTCAGGTCAGAATGCTGGAGACCAAGAGCCCCAAACTTGATTCTCCAGGGATATCTGGACACTCACAGGAGATTTCCTCAGTTCCAGTTTCTCATTCTACTTGTCCCAGTTCCACTGGCTGCCGGACTTCATGGTCACCACAGAGCTTCCCACTGACTTGTTAATGGTTGGACTGGATGATCTTAAAGGTCTTTTCCAACCTAAACGATTCTATGATTCTATGACTTAAGGTAAGACAGCTGCTTCATTTTGTAAAAGACAAAAACCAACAACCCAAAACAACCAACCAACGAACCTTCAGAGGCTGGTGGGGTTGGTTTTTTGTTGTTGTT